TTATCCTAACATAAGGTTGGCTGCAGAGAGCTAGCTAGCGGCTTAGACTCTGTCACCGTGTTCTTGGATCTTCGATTCACGTACGCAGACAGACAAATGGAATATAATGACAGAAAGTAGTCAAGTCAAATCCAATTTCGTCTTCAACGTGTATGGGCCGCGGCCGGCGGCCTTTTGCTTTCCGGCTTAATTTGCCTAACAAAATTTCACTAAACAAAACAAAAGAGTTGCAGTAGTGCTCACATCACAAAAACGTCAGTAACATTTATAAGAGAATAATAAAATAACATTAATGAATATGTTGAGTTTTTTTTTATATATATAACGGGAGCACGAGATGAGGTATATATCAAAGTCCGGGAAATATATAGTAGTATAATAGTTCGTATAGTGTTACTGTGCTAACATTATATGTTTCGAATCAAAAGTTACATTTAAAATTTGGTCAACAGATTAACAACAATTTTTTTTCTTAAAACAATAAAAAAATAATTACTATCGCAGTAACCCAGAAACTTGGTAATGCATGAACGTGGGGAGTTCTTCTTCCAACTAGAAAAACAAAGTCAACGATGTGGACGTTCTAACCAAATCCATTTCTTTCTCTTGGTTGCATAGTAAGTATCGCACCTAACCTCACCATTACGTCGTCTATCCATAAGATACAAGACGCTAACCATTTCCACCCTTATCACTTTACTTCTTTTCTGCAATATTACGATCATAAAAGTACTAAGCTTATTAATTATATGCGATTATGTGTGTACCAGATTTGTCTTTCCTAAAATAATTTACCAGATACCATTTGATACAATCTGAAGCAAACCCTGAAATCTTCTCCATGGTAGATTGACATGCAAAGTGAGTTCCTTTCAAAATATCCAAATTATGAGAAATTTTTGTGTTACGAGTCGTCTGAATGATGTTTCCAATCTTTATATTGTTGTGGGCATAGTTTTGTGTGTGATCGAATGAAAGTGTAGTTTAATGGAGGTACCGAGCACGGTACATCAAGCAAGATTAGAAATGTATGTGAACTTAATGAGCGTCAATCGCTGTTCTTTCAATACAAACTCTAAAGCAAACCGTGGAATTTGTGTCTGCCCGTTTAGTTATAATGATAGCTGATATAAGCCATGCACACGGGTCATATGGCTGGTACTTCTCGTAGATGGTATATTCTTCATAATCGTGCTAGTCGGGATTTGACTTGAAAACTTCCTGCAACTGAAAATCAATGTCTCTTTCGCTTATGAGACAGAACCCTTGCACCTTTCATTGAGGCTCAATTGTTAATTCACTACAAGAAAAATTACTATTAGCGGCTAAGTGTGTTTGCCACGATAAGTGATTTATGTGCCACTATAGCTTTATAAAGGCGCATAATTATGTGCTGTCAATACTGTTGCCGCTAAATCTCTTTAGCGGCAGATGTTAGCGGCAAATATTATCTGCCTGTAATTTATGAATTCTCGACAGATAGTTTTGCTGCCAATTTCACTTTTTAATTACTACTTTATTGTTTCCTTTTCTCAATTTAGTAGCAACCATATTTGCCACTAATGCTAATTTTGGCGATACATATTTATGCCTCCATAATACTTTTTGGAGACAATTGTATCAGCCTTTAAATTAATCTACAGAAGCAAACTATGTGCCTCTAATGGATAATTATTTGTCTCTAATTTCACATTTACATAACATTTCTTCTACTTTTAGAGGCACACGTACTTGTTGGTACTCATGATTTTTTTTGTGAGGCATAAATATTAAATATTGTTCCAAGATTTTTATAATTATGATTTTTTTTAAATAAGAGAAACAAATGAAAGCAAAATTTTAATTAACTAGTATCAACATAAATATTCTTACAAATCGTTCAAGCAAATAACAATGCTAAATGGGAAGAAAAAAGAAGAATGCTAACTTTTCATGTTCTTACTTACTAAATATACTATAACCTAAATACTACGCGCCAATACTATAACAGGTATAATTAAGTTCAACTTCATCACCAACGTGTGTGCACGACAAGACCTCAAACTTGTTCAACCTGTAACAAAAACAATATTTTGATTTAAGTTAACCATTCATTTGAATAAAAATGTAACAATGAATCAAACCGTAGTAGAGGAATTGACTTACAAAACTACATGGCTAAGCAATACTTTGTACTACCACATCCCCAATAAGCTAATAACTTCCAGATGATCAAATTTAAGCCTCATCACACTTGATTGATACTATGATAAATACCTCAACAAATTCAATCTTCATTTCTTTCCCGCATAAACTCTTCAATAACACATCTCTTAATTCCTATATTTTATAATATTATGATATTAGTGTAGGGTGCATATTTTTTTGACCAAGCAAAGAAAGATTCAATAAAAAGACAATCTATATTAGCTGACTACAAGGATCCGAGATCAACCATTACGTTTATCAAACTCGATTTTGAAACATTTATACTTGAGTTTTAGGGCATGTTAAAAGAATTTAACTAATTGACAAATGATTGATCATATAGAGCAGAATTTGAGGACTTCAACAAAGAACTTGTATACAAAAAATAAAGAAAATGGTGGTTGGATTCACGAACACCAAAAAGCTAACACAACATCCCAAACTAGGAAAAGAAATAGAATACCTGATTCAACACCACACCATGAATGAGGGAGCGATTCCTTTATCGAGATCCCAATTTGCTGATACCAATTGTTCTGATTTCTTGCCTTCATTGAGTCGTCTCACCGCGCGTCCTCTTATATCTTATTCTTGAAAATTAAGATAAAATTGAACACGTTCCACTTACTAGAGTAAGTTAGATCGACAAATCATATAGAGAGTGGCGAATCATATACATATACAGGATGGCGAATCTGGAAAAGAAACGAAAAGAGGGTAGCAAGGCGATGAGCAGATGTTTCTGTAACAAATAGACTGTAGAGACGGCTAGGGGCCGTGATAGTGATCGGAAGGTTAAGAGATAGTGATAAAAGGGAAGGGTAACTTACGTTTATCGAACTCGGTAGAAAAGGGAGGAGCAGAAGCTCCAACACCATGCATTGACGGCTGCAGAGGGGGGAAAAACTTACAAGTTAAGAACGGTTAGGGTTTCGTATGGAGATAAAATAGCTTCACTAGTTCTTCAAAAAAAAACTAATTCTCTGTTTCGTTCCTTTTCTTAATTATCCCTTAAAAGTTAAAAACCACCAATTATGTTTGCATAATACAGCGGCGAAAATTGTAGCTGCCTCCATATGAGAGTGATTGTGCGACAATATGTTGGCCGGTAATACTACAATTTTTAATAGGTCATTCCATTTTCCTCTAATAATTAGTCTTGCCTGCTTAGATATAATTATACAGTGACACATAAAAGTAATTGTCGATAAAATGAATATTTGAAATATAATTAATATAAATCAAAATTGAAATAAAGAATCCGAGGCAAATATCATTCGCTATTGAGGCTAATAATATATCTGTTGCAATAAGTGAGATTTAGAGGCTAACGTTTCATATGCCTCAATATATTAGTCGTTATATCTAAGTTTTCTTGTAGTGATTCTTGGATAGTGTATAATTCACACATACACTCCATTTATTTCACCTCTTTTCAAGCCGGCCGTCCATCGAAAGCTCTTATCTAGAATGAATTTTTACGTGTGATTGGGGAGTTCTTCTTCTTCCTTCTTCTTCCCGACAAAGAAATTAAAACAAAGGTGGTAGGAAAATTATGTCGCTCACTATATGGCACATGAATCTCTTGGACTAGAAGCAACCACAAGGATATGATAAATGCCTCTCATCCTCTCTCTCTCTCACTCTCCATGATGTGATTTCACAATAAGCTACAAATTATGAAGTGACACATTAGTTGATTTGGAATTTTGGATGACTAAGGTCAATTATATAAATTTTATACATCATCATTTTTTACGCATTTTCTTACCAAAAAAAATTATTTGAACAGTTTGAGCATATCATACTTTTTACTATAATATGATCAACATCGGGAGATTATCACGAGACCTCTTGATCGAAGGTTTTGATATCATCACTTTTAATTCCAACCTTTTTTGGATAAAGAGGGGTGAAATAGAGGTTAAATTGCGAAGGTTGAGCATTGAAATCCAACCATGTTTGCGGAAGGGTTATCGCATAGGATAATGGAAACTCATAATGTGCCATTTAGTTTCAATAGCTTGAATTATTATAAAATATTTCTATATGAATTTTATGTCATTCCTTTTTAGATGTTTATATTCTTGGAAGTTCAATGACTAGTTACATACATTTATAGTCGTACAAGAAAATTAAAGCAACCAATGTTGGTCGAAGAAGTGTATTTCATGTTCAGTAATATACCTAATTTGTTTTGCAATCAAGTACAACTAATTCATGATGGGGGTTTATGTGTATTGATTTTGGACATTTAATTTCATTAATTTCTATTTTATTATGTAAGTGTCATCTCTATATGGTGTGGAAGGGAAGAGAACATTGTGTCATCGATATAGTTCATTATGTGGCCGCTATTTTTATAGATAGATCAGGAAGTCTCGTAACAACTAACACGACATTGTTTTATGAATTTCTTCGATCTCCTGATCGTACTCTAGTAGCACAATTTTTCACATTCAACTAATTCTCTGCGCCGTCAATTAAAAATGCATTAAAACAAAATCAAAAGTTGAATGACCGATTAGCATTAACCTAAAACTTATGTGGTTGTCTCTCCAATCATATCTAAAATAAAATGGAGAAACAACGTTTAAACAAATAAGGAGAAATAAATATAGTTTAAAAAGAAATAAATGAGAGAAAGAGCTAAATAATAAAAATTATAAAAATACATGGTGATGACCACATTAATGACGTAATTTTGAATTATAATAAATAAATGTGATGTTATTTAATATTTAACGACTAATCAAAAAAGGCTGGTTTAAAGCCCAAAAAAAAAAAAATCCCCATTACCAGCTCATCCGCCCGAGTATAAAACCAGAAGGCCCTCCACCTTCCTAGCTCCCATTCCATTGCCAATTCCATTACCTTCTTCTACAACCTTTTCAACGCATCCGTTCACCTGAATCAGCTACTAGAGAAGACTAGAGCAGAAAGAACAAGACAACGAAAGCAAAGAGAAACCCCTGATTCCCCAGCAATGGCCGTCAAAATCTACATTGTGTAAGCATTTTCTGCCCTTATCATTCTGGCTCGAGCTCTGTTCTTTTCAATGCTCGTTGTTAGTTCCAATTACTGGGTTCGGCCAATAATCTTAGGCCGGTTTACTTTCGTGAACTGATTCTGTTGCTTTATGCGTCGAGTGTTTGGTCAGATTACTGGGTTCATCTGGGTTTGACTTGGATTGCTGCTGATCAGCTTATAATATCTTAGAAAGTCCTTTCCTTTTTGATCGATTATTAGCAAAGATGGAAGCTTGCAATGATAGTGGAACTGGAATCCCCTGTTTTTGTCTGGGTTAACCCAATTTTGTATCAATTTCCAGATTTCTGATTTTCATTGTCAAGTGGGGTCTTTTCTCTGAAATATCAGCTGCAGAAATGGTTCTTTGGGTCGGGTTCTAGGTTGGGTCATTTGTGGGTTGTGCAACTTGTCAACAACATTTTGATTGATCAGAGTCTTGATGAAACATGTTAGTCGTTAGAGAACCGATTCATCTTGCTTCCTCAAAATAGAAGCTTGATCATTGTGTTTGACCGTTCTGTACTAATTTATCATATATGTCTAAATGAAGCATTGACATTAGAGATTATTAGTATCTGAAGACACAATCTTTCTGCTATCTAATGCTTTGAGGAGAGCCGATTTGTCTCGATAAATCGAGTTGTTGATCAAGATTCGAAATAGGTGTCATATCATTCTAAGTTTTGCTTGCTTGAAAAAGGATAGTGCTAAGTGAAATGCATCTGCTGTAAACCTTATAGTAGTGGGTGACCTCAAATTTCAACGTGATTGTGGACAATGGAGGTGGCACTAGAAAGGTTGGACTTTTATCATTTTGTATCCATCTGGAAAATGGGAATATATGTAGCTGAGATGTCTCCCACTGCACATTCTGCTATGACCACTCATGACTGTCTCCTGTTTGGGGTTAAATCAACGGGAAGGAAAGAAAGCAGGAGAGAGTTTTGATGATAATATGGCCAAGTCGTTTGTGGAGTTTCCACTTCATAAGTAGATATTAGTAAGTAGTGAAAAGAAAAGGTTGATTGTGATATTGGACCTACCCTTTGAATTATAGTTGAGATGGAGACTTAATGGCTTTCCCATGATCGCATATGGTCCCTATCACTCATCATTCCTACCTCTTCTCATTTCATACATTGCTTGACTATGAGCTGATACTATAGATGGTTCCAAATGTTTACTTCTTCTGACATTCCTTACAGATGAAACTTATGTTCATATACATCTATCTTTGCTATTTGTTGTCTTCTTCGAAACACGAAGTACTTCAATGAATTAGGGTGTTGCTTTGACGTCATCTTACCACGAAAGATATCAATAAGTGAATTATGCTATAGACAGAGAACTAATAATGTGGGGCTGCTGACTCAAATCTGCAGTTACTACTCCATGTATGGACATGTTGAGAAACTAGCTGAAGAGATTAAGAAAGGAGCTTCCAGTGTGGAGGGAGTTGAAGTGAAGCTATTTCAGGTCTGTTCAGCAATCAAGAACTCCTGCAGATCATGTTCCATCTTTTCACCAACTCTTCGAACTTAATCGTTGTGGATTATCTGTTCATTAGGTACCAGAGACAATGAATGAAGAGGTTCTTGGCAAGATGGGAGCACCATCGAAGAGTGAGGTCCCCACCATCACTGCCAATGAACTTGCCGAGGCTGATGGCATCCTCTTTGGCTTCCCAACTCGATTCGGCATGATGGCTGCTCAGTTCAAGGCATTCCTGGACTCCACTGGTGGGCTGTGGAGGACTCAGGCACTCTCAGGGAAGCCTGCTGGTATCTTCTACTCGACTGGCTCTCAAGGAGGAGGCCAGGAGACTACACCGTAAGTGTTTTTTTAACACGGTCCCTCCTGTTATTATGATTACGAACCACTTCAAAATCCTGATTCTCGCGAAATCCTTTGCTCGATCATGCAGCTTGACCGCGATCACTCAGCTCGTTCACCATGGGATGCTCTTCGTCCCAGTGGGTTACACATTTGGAGCTGGTATGTTCGAGATGGAGCAGGTCAAAGGTGGGAGTCCTTATGGTGCTGGCACATTTGCAGGGGATGGCTCCAGGCAGCCTACTGAGCTAGAGCTGGGACTGGCTCACCACCAAGGGCAGTACTTTGCTGGGATTGCCACAAAATTGAAGGGTTCTTCTGTTGATGCTTAAGTGGAGAGGGATTTTTGGGGATTCTCCATACAGTCAAAACTTACAATGTGTTTTTTATGCTCCTTAATATACAAATTAGAAGCTTTGGATTCCTCTCATTCTGTGTTTGAGTAATAATGTATTACCATGTAATCTCATTGTTGGGCTACATGATTTTCTTGTATCTTAGTTTTGTGTCGTCCTCTGCAATTTTATTTTTTAATAGAATAATGGTTGTGTTCTTTACATTACTTCTTTGTTAATGAATTTAAAATTTCATTTATGCAAGGCTTTCTTTTAATGTATGTAATTTTAGTGTGGGTATGTGGGTGGTTAGTTCGCGGTTTGATATTGATTCCCTGCAAATAATTCAAGCCGCAGTAGGTGGGTGATTGATGCAGCTGGATCATGGTTCGAAAATTTCCTATCCGCACTTAATCGGATGGGTGGTGAGTGAGTTGAGTCACCCAAATGACCCACACCTCATTTTCACACGACAAAGAGTTATTTTCAGTTTATAGTATAAAATATCCATCATATTTTCTAACTTCTTGTTAATATGTAGTGTAATGTCCATTAGATATTTTATTACAAATTTTTTTATAAGGATAATATATGTTTGTTTACTTAGTTGCTGCATGAGAGAATCAAACCTTGAATACAAATTATAAACTGTTAATTGTATCAAGTTCATAAAAACCTTGAATACATATTCTTATATGTAGTGTAATAAAAGATTTGATACTTCTGTAAAAGAAGTAAAATCTACATAATTCAATAGCATTGGTATCTAAGACGCACCAAAAAAGCATTGGTATCTAAGAATATGTGAATAGTGATTTTGTTTTCTTTATCAATAAATACTTCATTTAAAGGGCCAGATGAAAAATTGGTATGGGCATATGGCCGTACGAGTGCTAATTTTTTTTATATGTTATAATTATTAGACAAATCCACATGAGACAAAATGAGATGTGTCTAAATTGCTAATTGTTTCTCCAAATTTTTGAGAAATTAATATCAATGATAGTTAATGGCTAGTTGGAGAATTGTTTTTGCGGTTTAACCCACCACCTGCACCCTCCTACCACCCTCTCAAATAAAATCAAAGAAAAATGTGAGTGGTTAGTGAATCATAATTGTACCAACTTTGTGAATGAATCAAATCAAAATCAAAATCTAATCCCTACTAATTGTCATTCATCGACGTGTTGAATGTTATCAAGCGGTCCACCACCAATAACATCAAGCAATCCTATTGATAAGATGTGATGGATAATTTGAATGTTTCCACGATTTGGGCCGTGGCTCGTTGGTCTCTCCGATTCATTTGTTAACAGTTTAGCCCACTAGGAAGGCTGGTTCGGTTTAGTCGTGGCTTGTCTGGACTCATAACCTCTACTTCACGAAGTCCATAGTTCTTAACTGAAACCGAAAGCCCAAGTACAACGGAAGTTTAGAATCCTAAAAAGTCCAGCCTAAACAGATCTAATGGGCTTCCCATCATTGTTCCCCTTCCCAAAATGGTTTCAATTTTGTCATAATCTAACCGGAGTGTGAGTCGAGCCGTTTTATAGGTTTAATTGATATTAAATTATTAAATAACACTAGCTTTCACCAAGAAAGTAAATCACTCATCCAGACTAGGCCGACCATCGATTACCATATTTGTCGGCCGGACCAATAGATTCGGTTCAGTTTTAACAGCACTTGCTCATACAATCCGTCAAAAATAGCAAGACGAATGATATCCACGGTCTATCTATTCATATCTCAAGTATATTGTCCAACTATTACTCAAAGCAAGCTAAAACAACATGTGTTGTCATTTATTGTTTCATATGTATTATACATTTGCTTGTTAGACGACTTGTTTTTATCGGGAATAAGTATGTTTTAATTATTCGAGATACCGAAAGAGATTTAAAAATAAATCTTTTTATCATTCTCTTATATAGAACCTTTAACAAAATACAACACATGAATTCGAATGTTACAAATATCTAGCATACCATATAAACAAATCAAATATCAGCGTTGTTAAGGGCTATCCGAATTCGAACACAATATACCCAAAATGCTTATAGATTTTGATAGTGACAAAAAGGAATCCCACAAGGTTCGAATTCTTACGAGCTAGCTAGTCAGCAGCTCGCAAGATAGAGAAAATGGGAGCCGATGGAAAGTCAAAGAGAAATGACACAAAGCCACCTACGCCTAGTAAGTAAACACGTTGGTAGCATAAAGAACAACATTAATAATATAAATGTATGGGACAGATTCGAAACATTCAATAATTAGGGCGTTTCTGGTTCGTCAATGAGGTTACATTACAAACAAACAAACAGGATTAGATTCTTTATCAAAGGCAAGAGAAAAGGCAGAGTTTTTAGCCCAATGGTGTGACAGAGAAGAGATATCGATCGTGTTTCGTGTTCGTCGTTTGGTTTCTCCAAATTTGATGAGCCATAACATATGTCGGGCAAATTATATGCTCATGATCAGTCTCTTTGATTCCATACAGTGAGTTTATTTTATGAAGAGAGCAAATATATAGTATATTATTACTAACGGTTTTGATTGGTCAGAATATATCGAACTGGGCGTCTAATAATGTGTGAACATATACATATGTTATGCGTAATATGTACTCTAGGGTTTGCGATATATATGTGGAATTTTCTAAGACCTAAAGTAAATATGGGGATACCGCCTATATTGAGTGAGGAAGAGCTATCTAGATCTTGAATTAATTGGACTTTGGGACTTAATACTATACCCTAATCCTTACAAAATAAAATCTTGATTCTCTAAATCTAATACAGTAAGATCAATTTTTAGTTAGAAAAAATAATAGACGCTTATGATTTGTCAAAATAAGTGAACCATTTAAGGTTTGCGATTTAGACAATTATATAGACTTTGGGTTCATTAATTAAAAGTTAAGATATAAGATGATACCCAAAATATGATTAATTCAAGATCGGGTAAATGTCACATTTGGTCACTGGGATTACTAAATCGTGTTATGTTTAGTCACTAGAAAAAATTAATCTCAATTTTGGTCACTCGAATTACTAAAACAGGTCACATTTAGTCAATCTCGCGTTAGCCTCCGTCCAACTCCGGTCACTTGAATTGCTTTTTTTCTTATGAATGTCACTCTTATTACTGAAACATGTCACATTTAGTCACTCTTCGTTAGCCTCCGTCCAACTCCGTTAATGGAGTTGGATGGAAACTAACGGGAGAGTGACTAAATGTGACATGTTTCATTAACTCGAGTGACCAAAATTGATATTAATTTTTTTAGTGACTGAACATGACATGATTTAGTAATTTCAGTGATCAAATGTGGCATTTATTCATTCAAGATCTGTATTTACGTTTTGCTTACTAAGAATATACAATACTTTAGATTTACACTGAGCACAGTAAAAGACATCATACATACATACATACATACATCGACAACCATAAATTACTATCACAAAAACAAGATGATGTTCTTTTTATAATTTCCATGATTGTAAAGTCGAATTATAAAAAATTGGTTCCTTCAATTCTAAGCTTCTATGATGCCTGCCGCCTGGCTCTTCATCATTAGTTGTCAATTCTCATTGGTTTTTATCTCTCTCCACGCAGATATGTATATACATATAATATTAGTGTAATATTATATGAATATTATATGAATATTATATAATATTATATGTATATACATATAATATTAGTGTGCATATAGCAACCCTTATACGAACTGAATGGCCACCTTAATGCATGGATTTATAATCATGATATTATACATAGCTTTTGATTGGATTAGAGCAGGGGCGGAGCCAGGATTTCGAGACCGGGGGGGCCGAAAATAATTAAAAAAAATTATGTAACCAATGTGGATCGAACCCATGTGCTATAATACACAAGTTAAGCTTGGCTACCATTGGACCACATAACTATTTGATCATATAATTTACAGAACATGTTCTACTTCTAAAATTTGTACGAAATATCTTTAAAAACCTAGGGGCCGGGATCAATCCCGGGGGGGCCGGGGCCCACCCTAGCTACAATGTAGCTCCGCCCCTGGATTAGAGGTGACAACAATTTAGGTTGTCAGGAATCTGGATGAACATATTATCGACAAATATTATTATCTGATATTTCTCACTCATATGGCAAACTAGATCGTTATTTTACTACTTCGCATCTGCAACAATTGTTGTCACAGTATGTGTCAACCCTAGAACGACCATTGGATATATAGCTTTGGAGTGTCAATGTCATTGATGTCGTCTCTCAAACATGTACTAACCATTAGTAAACATAGTAAAAACAAAACATATCATTAGTGACTAGCGTTAAATCTTCAACAACCATTAGTATCAAACATGCAATGTAAACCTATTACCGATCTTAGATGTAAGGTCTTTTTATCGCTAATTAACCAACACTCAATCATTAAATTATCACATCAGACTCAACCTTTAAATTTCCTTATTACTAACTAACTTCCTATTAGTTGAGCATATTTTTTTCTTGCAAGTCTTGGCTGCCCAACTCGCGGACGACATATCAAACTCAAAACCAAAACCACTAAATTTAATCGATTCAAAATCCAGTCTAACACGAGACAAACATATCTACAAAACTGTGGCTCACGATGGATGGCCAGACCAATATCCCACTAGCGTTTCAAAATTTGGATTCATTGGTCTAGAATGGGTTAAATGATGAGATAGTGGAAAACTCCCACACTCTTCTTCTTCTCAAAGAGAAAAAAAGAAAGAGCAAACCCTAATAGAAAAAAAAGCACGATGGAATGGAAGAGGAGCCATAGGCCAACCTCTCATTCCATACCATTACCACACATTTTCCAACCACACAAATAAAATAAACAAATGGAGGAGAAAAGGCAAAAGTAAAGGAAGAGATCAGACCAAACAAAACCAAAATGCAAGAAGTTGGCAAGTGGAACCAATCACAACTATTATCTCCACTCACTCCAATCCAAGCAAACAACATAAAATAAACCGATAGAAGCAACCGATTTGAGCGTACAATCAATTTGATCGATATTCTACAATAAACATACATGAAATTAAGAACACAATATCAATTACTATGATTTTCATATGAATTAATCATGAAATTAAGTGCTTCAGTCACACAGTATATACCAGTACATTTCACAAAGTGGCATTACTCTCTTCCATGACGATAACGAGACTCAAAGTAGCGAGCGAAGCATCATTCCAACCGAAAGAGATATTTTTATTTCCGAATTAGTATATTAATATAACCAAAATACAAAGGGCAAAATTACATACAGCAACAGGAACAAATCTAACTTACTTGTAGCTAAACATCTCTTACTAAAATCATAAAAAACACCAAACTCCAAAAACATCACTAATAACTTTTTACCATTTTGTTGTTCCTGTTTCTATACAGAATCCACCCTTTCTTCTCCCTTCCAAACTATAAATAATTAACAGTACTATACATATGCTTATGGGGAAAAAATACAAGGAAAATTAGAAATGATACCCTATTCGTATACACGATCGGTTCAACCGAAAACCGGTTCTCAGGCATACCCTGATGATTTTGCTTGATTGGTGTGCCCTACTCAGAGCTTTGCTTTGCAGGTGGCTCCAGCAGTGGTCATGAAAATTCTCCCTTTTCCTTGACTCTTTGTTTCCTTTTTTCCCCTTTCCCTTTTGTTCTCTTTAGCTTTAGGCTCAAGTTTGGTGGCACATATACAGCTAATCTAACTAAAAAGGGCCAACCCTTGTAATCATTTTTTCTTCTTTTTGGGATTTGGAAATGAAGATAGGAATCAGTCCCCCATGGTTAGAAATGAAATTCTTCTTGTTTGAATCCAATTCTGTCTTCCCCCTCTCTCTCTATATATGTCTTGTCTTCGTATTAGCTGAGGTTGATGATCTCATATATCGTTCTAAAATAGATTAGGTGCTTCTATGTTTGTTGTATTTGTGAGACTTAATCTATCTGAACGAGCCACCGAAAGTTGGTGTCCAGAAATCAGCTGTAGTCTCACTGGCGACAGGGAAAGTGCTCGATATTGGCACCAAACACAGTCCTCTTGTTTGGAGGTCCGGTTGATTTTGTGCTTCTTTATCCAATTTGTGATCAGCATTAGTACCCTTCTGCAGTTTTGTGTTTAAGATGTTGATTGGTTAATCAACTAATTAACAGCAAAGAAATTTAAGGGTAACCCAATAAGCTAAGTAACTAGCTAGCAAGTTAGTGATCAATTACCTGTTGGTGCTGATGATGAATGGGGTTCCCATTCTTCATGTATGGAGTGCTTAAAACCTGCGCCATAGAAACTAATTAATTAGCTTATTGTTATTGTCTTTAAGCAAGCTTGAATTAGCCCTAATTTCTGGGCTAGCTTATGGTTAAACTGATATGAGACGTACACTGACTTGATCATGAAGGAACTTGATGTACTCGATTGCTTCGTGGAGGACTGATGCAGTATCCGTCTGGATTAATAGTAAAAAGGTAAAAAAAAAAAAATAAACACAATGAGTAAATCAATATGTAGTAAATAACACACAATACAATAACAAGAGTATTTCGCAACCAACTGGTAATCCAAACTTTCTCACGATCATTCTTTCGCTTTGAACAACTATCATTTGATCGTATCAAAGATCGGTTTACCATTTTCCCCCCTCTATACTCATCTAACATGAATTAAAGCTACGATTATCTTACAAAACCACAGGTAATCAACTAATTTACTAATACCATTTCTAAAAGAAAGTCAACAACATGAAGAATCAACCTAGATTTTCACCTTTACACCTTTTGTCATTTTCATGTCTATGGGCAAAAAGTAAAGATCTGATCTCTCTATATCTAATGTCTATACGGTAAAAGGTAAGAAAATTCCAAAAAACTAACCTTTCCGAAAGGTGAAACCAATTGCTGAAGGGCAGTTATACGGTCCCCTAGCTTCTCTTTTCGGACCTGAATTTCACAAAGCAGCATAAAATTATAAATTTTCTGTACATATAATATAGTAATATACCCTTTTCATCAGAACACAGATAAAGGAGAATGCAGAGCTTGCCTACACCAATAATGGCATATAAAGCAAAACCCTACAATCGTCATACAAAAATAATTAATGGGTAGCATAAGATACTAATTATTACAGCACCATTACTTAATTAATTACCTTAAAAGTTGGTAATGGAGATGGTGTTTCGATTCTTGGCCTCTTGAAGGCTGGCTCACTACTACTCCCCTTCTTGCTCCCAGATTTCGTGTCCTTGCTATTCCCAGCTTCTTCCTTCTTTGGTTGCTGCAGGTCAAAAAAAAAAAAAACAATTGAGAAAAATCATTCAAAACCCTAGGATCACAAGCCGAAACTTTAACAAACACACATGATTTTACGTGACGTTCTGATTGTGTTCGCATCATTTCTATCGGGATACTACATATTGTACGATGTAATTTACTTTCTTTCTATCGTTGATCGAATTTTGAAGTAGTGTTCCTTACCTTTGCTGTAGAGATCGCGTTGGGAAAACTCGTGGGTTTCTGCTCGAAATTCGGGTGGCTGAATCGGGCCTGGGCATGGCCTAGCTGAGGCTTGGTGAAACCGGCTCTGATACCGCCTTCGATCGAACGAGACACACTTGCTGATGGAGAATCCCAAAACGGGGTACTACTGTGGCTGTTCATGTTGTGATGATTATTAGGGCTTTGGAATTTGGCTTGAGATGATGAAAACTCGTTTAGCAACAAGCTGTCGCTAAAAAGCGGCGCCGGCGACGGCTGGAAGGGAGCATCGGACTCGAACAAGCCTTGTATGAGCGTCGAAGGATACACACCACCATACGAAGCTGTCGCCGCCGTCGTCGTCGCAGCGACCGACATATTGTCGTCTAGCGACGGCGGCGGCTGTTGTTGGTCGATGTTGAAGAAATGATGATGATTGTTGAGCAGTGGATCTTCGGTTGTTTGATTGCACCAATCGTAGTTGCTCCCATGGTCGATCCTATCACTCCCTCCTCCATTCCTTTTTTTTTCCCCAGCATAAAAAAAAAGTTAGACCAACTTTACCAAATTACAAAAAGACTCAAATTCGTCATATAACCATGTGTTTGTAAAATCGTATCAAGTTCGTCTATCCATCTACTAATTAAGCTACATATATAAAAAAAATTAAATGATGAATGTTATGTTTTGGAGACTTCCATCTTAATGGCGAATTCAAAAATTTCATCAAGTGTTGTCAGATAATTTCGAATTCAAATACTATCGTATCAAAAATAAAATTTTTACAACAAATTTTTAGTTCAAATTTTGATTTAGTGTTTGTCGATTCTTTCACTTGGTTTAGTTGTTCCTGCTTTCTAATAATTCGAGTTACTGAGATATTAACTATGGAAGAGCTTACATCAAGGCGGCAGCAGCCTGCTGTTGTTGCTGGTGGTGGTGATTCCAGTCGGAGGAAGACGGCGAGGAGGACGAGAGGCCGGCGCCGAACCCCATGAGCTGAAGAGCGGTGGAGTCCATCGGAAGTCCTCCTCCTCCTCCGCCGCCGCCGCTGCTCCCGCCGCTGTCGGAATCGTTCTGGAAGACAGCGGAGCCATCCGAAACGGAGGAGTTGTTGGAAACGACGTCGTCGACCTTCCATGGCCCACCGAAATCCGCCGCAAGTATGCTGCCGGGAGAGCAAAACGAAGAGCCGCCACCGCCGCCGCCAGCTCGCGAGGGGTTGCTGATCATCATCAGGTTGTTCCACCAGTTCCCGCCGCAAACCCCGGTCTCAAATTCTTCAGCCATATGATATCGTTGAACTACAAGTCTGTTTGACGTGATTTCTTTTCGTTTTGTTTCGGTTGGTTATTGTGTGGGTTGGTTTGCTGTGTTTTGTGGGTTTTGGAAGAAGAGAAGGAAGGTAAGCATATATGAAATTAATGGAAGGGAAAGGTGAGAGCTGGCTGAAGGTGATTTATATAAGGAGGGAGGGAGAAGAAGAAGAAGAAATTACCAGAAGGAACCAAAAGGAAAAGGTTTATGTTAATTAAGTTGACAAATCAGAGAGGGGGAGGGGGATGGGGACTAAACCAGAGAAAGAACAAAAGTTTACAAAAGAAAATAATGAAAAGGAATTTTGAATCAAATTCTTTTTCTTCTCTCTTACACATCTCCTAGCTACTTTACTCTTTCCTTTCTCTTGTTTTTTTCTTTTTATTTATGGATTTATCATTGCTAGTATTACTATTTTGATGAAATATTGATTTAGATGAGTTTATTTTTATGGTGGATTATGAAGACTGGTGTTTTATTAGTTCCAAAATAAGTATGGCCCAATTTTATTTATTCATAGGCTATTTATTATCTTATTTTGCGTCCGAATACGTGATTTATTCGTTTATGGAAAATATTCCGTCATGCAAACTAATAATTTATTCAAAATACTAGTAACTTAGTGTATTTTTATTCTTTATTATCAGATATCTAAGGTTGACTGCAATTTAGTTTTAGATTATATATTTTAGAAGAATAGCATAATTGTCTTACTAGGTTTACAAAATTTGGATGAAAATAAACATATGAAGGCCTTTTTCCCCCTTGGTGTCATTAAAAATACATTTACAAGAATACAGGATAACTGTTTTTAATTTGATCTGTGATTGTGATTGTCAAAGGGAGCGAACGAGTGAATTTAAGAAATCTCAGACTAGTAAATCGCATCAAAATTGTTTTGAAATTTGTGTAAAAAGAATGTAATACATACAAAGCCCTTCTAATTCTCACCTAGCTTTATTTTTTAACAAATATATATATAAATATATTATTTATAAACTAATAATAATAATCTCATGTTTTTGTTTTGTTCCTTGCTAGGAAAGGAATGAAAATGATAGTGACGATGGAACCCAAAAAATGCCACGTAAAAGTTTTGGACCAATAATGTCTCTCTCTCTTCCTTTCATTTTTGTTCTCTCTCTCTCTTGGGATTATATTATTAATAATAATTAGATTGTTAATTAAATGAATTAAACGGCTGTTGTTAGCTTAGTAGTCTCCATATTACTATTAATTAAAACGGGCAAAAAGGGGTTCCGGATAAACCTGAGAGAATTCAGGACCGGGCGGTCCACATTAGGTCACATAATTTCTATTCTAAATTCTAATACTTTTGGCGCCTCCCTCACCACCATACTCATATTATATATTTTGATAATTTGGAAACTTAACTAACCAATTCCTGCCCCTCCCACCTAATGTGTTAAAATAATCCTAATAAAATGAACCATCAAGATCAACTATTCCTTCTTGGTTTAGTTTACACTAGGGACTGGTTACATGTTGGTGCAATGGATTGAAAAACATGTCGTTTTATCCTTTAATTTGTAAGCGGTTGCGACGATTTTGTGTGAAAGTAAGAGGTCGGGTAGCAAAGTGTATTAGGAGGGATCGATAAACGGATTGCCCAGTACCATTGTATTTTTGAATGGAGAGTGATATTCGCCGGGTTGCATATTTGAACTCGAGAAATAAGGATGATCGAGACAAGGCAGGCGTGACATTTGGGTGTCTAAGTGTTCGAAATACAAGACAGATTTGTGGATTTCTCTCTTCCTTTGTTATAGGTGAGAATTTCATTCTCTAAAGTCAATTATCATACAGAGAAAACTCCAATACGTACGAAGAAATAGTTTCAAGTAAAATGAAATATGTAAATCCAATCACGAAAAGCAAGTAGCCACTCACGCTTGTTTGAGCGCCAGAGTCTACTTTATACTTTGTATAGTTGATATGTTGTATACTGAAACAACATACTACCATTGTTCCACGCCTACTCGATCGCCTTTCGACACATCTGTAATAGATTAAACGAAATTTAGAAGTTACTAGCTACTCGATCGCCTCCTCCATGCATAAAGAGGTTGCCACAAATCAAAGCAAATAATAACATCGTATAACCAAAAAAATTATGAGTTATCATATCTTTGCACATGTTGGTAGGATCTTTAAGGGCATGATTGTTAATTATACACTGACAGTAATGCAGAAATCATACTCTGTAGTAGTAACCCCCATGTACGACGTCGTCCCGTAGCTACGTATTATACTTGTAAACCAATAGAATTTTGCCATATATGTATTTTAGTTATGATCATAAGAATATAGCAACCATCATTAAGGTTTAGATCCTTTGAATTATGAAGTAGAATAATGATATTGGTATATGTTGCCGATCCCCAGAACATGATATTTTCAATCGCACGTCGATCTGCAATAATAATAATAATAATAACTATTTTTTTTTTTTAGCCCAATTAGTTGTTTTCAATTCAATTCAATATATTATGTCAGTTCTGTTGACCCTGAATATAAGGAATTTAGGGCAAGAAATGTTGTGAATTTGGGGAGAAGAGCTGCTCCACAACTGCTTAATTAGTAGGCTAAAGCTAGCAATGCAGCAAGTCCTAGTGGCACAGGTTACCAAACAATTCTTTGTAACCTAATTAACTTCATAAGCAATGAGGTCAGCAAGTTTTTGTCAAAAAAAAAAAAAAAGAGGTCAGCAAATTAAATGAAAGATATCTAATTTGAAGCTTCGCGGTACTCAGAACATACAACATCTTGGCGAATAGAAACTCGAGCTTATTTCATGATATTTATCATGGCCTCTCTTCTTTCTTTCACTCAATATGTGACAATGAATGTTATCAATTCGTTGACGATTTACATGTACAGTCTTCTCGTATTCAAAGAAGGACAATGTGCAATGTCCTTATAATATTACTTGCAAAATCAAACATTTCGACCGGAGGGATAAGAGGAAAGAGGTAGTTAACGGGACGATGTGAGAAAAAAAAATGAAAATTTTCCTCCAAAATCACAATATTTAATTGAACTTACGCATGATTAGGAAAAGGAAAACATGAAAACCCAAGTGAAGAATGAAAAGGTTTGAATTAGGGTTAAGAAGAAGCTTATTATAGTGACTTTGACGGTCGACTGAACCTGAAGAAATTAAAGAATCAAAGGGCAAGTTGACAAGTTAGGTCAGTTCCTTAATTTGATACCCCTAAACTTCAAACCCTAGAAAAAATGTTACTTTCACAGGTCAACGCCTGAGACTTGATGAGTCGAGGAAGCAAAAATCAAGATTCGAAGAATAAAATATGTGTACGTCTTCGCCGCAAGATCAGAAAAGGAGGAATAATGTACAAGAAAAAAATTAGTTGGAAAGTGATTTACGGCTTATTTATAACCAGAAATGTACTGGAAATGAGTAAATCTAATATCCAATCTTTTCATGTAGATAACCTCAATTTTCTGAATATGATATCTCATAAATTCATGACAGATAAAATAGCTATGCTCATCAGGCAGATAATTTTGTTTATATACTATGATTAAAAATTAGTGGTTAATTATGAACAAGGGTTTGGTCTGATGGTAATAACTAATAACACTAGCCTTGAACCCGGAAGTCCCAGATTCGAATCTATTAAGTAATACATAAGCAACAAAAACTAAACATATATCACATCTATAAAAAAAATTAGTGGTTAATCATAAGAAATTCATCAGCTAATTTAACAATTATAGATTGTTGAAAATAAAAAATATATATTTTTCTTGTTATGAGAGACATTCGTCAAAGACAAAAGATCATCAATTCTCATAAATATCCCACAAACACACAAAAGCAATTAAAACTTGCACGCATGCATATCGGTAGATACCACGAGGAGGTAACTAAAAAATAATGGTTGCCAAAATTTGAACCAAAAAATCATCCTAAAATATATAAAAGCCGTCAAGAACTGTAATGCTCAAACCTCTACCGAAGCAAAACTCTCTCACATGATTATATCCTCGTAATTTTCAATATTGACCATAGCAGTATTATATTTTTTGATGAATATAGCAGTATTATATTGACGATTGACAGGACTCGATCTTATTATAGCGTGAGCCGTGAAGGAATGATATTATGGTACACAAATAGATTCTTTCTCCGGCGAGTAAAGCCGTACGCATCGATCCAATTTTGGGGCTTCAAATTCCTTTTGTTTCCAAAGGACCACTTCTTCCCAGTAACGTGTAATCTTCCAAGTTATAAAATTCATAACCCTCGTGGAGTTGATCTCTGTGATCCGATCTTGGTCGATCGAGGAAAGGGAAGGAAGAGAATAGACGCCAGGTTTATGGACCATCTCAAATAGAACCACACACAAAAAAAAAGGCCAAATTAATTGATTAAATTAAATATAAGGTGTGAAAGTGTGAATATTATGGGCCGGAGTCAAAACGGGCGGGCCCGGGGAAGACCCATGCGCGCGTGCTGCGGTGGGACGGCTGGCGGGCGGGCACCTGGGTCCTCTTCCCGACAACCCGGCCCGGCTGGCTGGCTGCTGCTCTACTTAAAAAGGTCAAAACTCCGATGTGACTCTTTACCATTCTCTCCCCCGGCCACCGGCCCCCTTTCCTTTTCCATATGTTCATTGCTAACTAGGGTTTCACTTGAGAGGAGTTTTCTTTTTTGCCCTCGTGAAATTTGGTTATGTCGACAATTTTGTATTGGGCTGATGTCATTGAATCATCTTTCGTGGCGGTGGTCACCATGTATGTTTGATAGTTTGGAAATTTTGAAGTTATGGATTCACGATCTAGCAAAGCATGCGGTCGAGTTAGCAATGTAAAGATCGAACTTCTAAGAATTGGACGTACGGTTTGAATTAGATTTGCGTAAACTTTGGCTATGAGTAAAACAAGAATACGGAATTTATTTCGTACTTGTCCGTTACGACTCAAATTGTTGAGAACGATATATGGCTTGTGATGGGTATATGAATTGCTCTAGTTCAAGGGTCTATGTGACTACATACGGATTATGTTAAAAGC